TTGGATTACACACGAATGTCAACATAATATCACACGCAAGATAAAATTTTCACCGTATCTTAGGACTCGATTTGTCCATGAAATTTACATATTCGCGAGTATACCCGTGGCATAAAATACATATTACATTTATTAATAATTATTAATTATTAATATATTCCAATGTTTTCTAATTAATGTTTTTTCTCTACCTTGATCGTTTTAAAATTTTATACAAGATAAACGATAGGAGGATAAGAAGTGTACACAAAAAAAAAATAGACAAAACGAAATGCTAAACTTTTGACTTTCTTGACAAATATTATAACACGATCAATCACCTTAAAATAAATTATTATTGGCTATAATTATTCAGAATTTATATTTTTATACTCATTAATCATCACCACATTATAAAATTCTTATTGAAATTCAAAGCGAAAACGATTTAACTATTGAAACCGTGATGAACAATGAATTATTGATCACTGGTAAAGTGAACTATACAATTTGTCGGAAGTTTAAAGTCAATAAAAAACAATAAGAATGGCTGATAACATAATATGTATATATTACCCAAGCAATAATATTTATTATTTGTTATCAAATTTTTTCGATAAACATATAGTATTTTTAATTCAAGTTATTATTTTTTTTTTTTTTTGCATTATAATTTGATAGTGTGCATTTCAAATATTTAAAATGGATAGTAATACTTCTGATTGTACTTCAAGGTCATCGTCAAGTTACAAGCCGGCCATATCAAACGCAAATAAGAATTACAATAATAAATCAAATTATAATCGTTCATTTTCCAGCCAAAGAAATTTGGAAATTCAAATGGAAAATAAATTATTTGCTAAAAAAATTGAAGCCGTGAAAAATAGATGCCCGGAGTCTCTGAATATTAGCTCCACGAGAAAATCCAGTGCAGCTAATAACCAGGCAAAGAAAGCTAAAGAAATAATAAAAGAAAACGAAAAGATGATCCTTAGAATTAAAAACGTCAAGTCGACTATTAATAAATAACAGTGTAGTAAAAAAAATCAATTAAATTATAAACTTTTAACTTGAAAATAATTGGGTAATATTTAGATTTTTTCATACCTAATATTATAAAATATTTTACATCTGATAAAGATAATAAATCTCTTTAAATATTAAAAACTTTATAATTACAAAAGTTTTAAATATCGTTGACCAATATATATATTGGTCAACGATATTTTTTTTGTGTCTCATGATGGTATATTTGAAAGATTTAGATTCAATGATATCTGTATATGTTTTTATCAAACATTTTTATGACAATTTTAAGAACCTAATTTTCATACGATAACAATAAAATTATAACTTTTAGTTATGTTGTAGGTAAATTTATGTAAAGTCCATTGTATGTTAAAACGAGAAGGAACACGTTTGAAGACAATTGTTGATACTGATAAATTTAAATATTATAAATACATGACCTATAACCTATAAGGACATATTTGCATGATATCTGAATTGGATTTTAAGGTCTTAACGATGAGGTATCTTACATTGCTCGTTTGTTTTTAATGAGGTTTTTCGGATTCGGGTTATAAAGAACACAAGCCATACCGAAATTAAATACAGGTCCAAAGAATCATTAATGTTAGGTATTCCACCGAAAACTTATGAGCGAGTCACCGACCACAAAATATTCAATGCCGCTTTTTGGAGACCATGAACCAATTATATTTTTCATACCTTAATCGGAGATGTTATTTAACATAACAATAAAATGAACATTTAAATTTGTTTTATTAAGTTTTACATTTCGGTACTATCCCGGACATAAATTAATACTAAACAAGGGAAATCAGCCCTTTTGACTTGGGTATTAATAATACTATGTTGTATCCTTTGTTTCCTCTTTGTTAATTTTAAATAACACCATGATCATGGCATTTTTAAATTGACAGAACTTGATGCGTTTATGATGCAAAAAACGTATGGATAGAAAATGTTTTGTCTACTTATTGAATTTTTTTATCATGATATCGAAGTTACAATCTGTAGGCTTTTGCCATATGCGTGTTACAGTTATGTAGATTGAAAAGTTTTTATTTTGCTTGTCAAAAATTTGGGGTCATTAATTTCGGTACGTGGTAAAAACTACTTTTTAGTAACTTTCATCTGACCTCGACTTGACATAAAAATAATACGTGTACTCTCAAATCACCGCTCGACAAAAAATTAATAACTCATTACCGATAACAATTCCATTTTGGTAAAAGTTATTTCAAATTTCCCCATTAAAGCCGATATCGGATTATTTTATTTTTATTTTTAATGGCCCGTACCTTGTACGCGTACACTAATGTACGGACGCGGTTTTATTTTACATAACACCGATCGAGGAGAGGTACAATGTAACGATATAATGTGAGCGCAACATAACAATACGATAATTGTGCCCCCGGAACAACAACACTAATAACGGTATGCCGAGCGTAGGTGTAAAATACTCTTTTGAACTTTGTCTGGCGAGGGAAATAGAATACTATAGGACTATTACGGCACGGATTGCTACCTGTAGGAGTTGCAGATTTCCGGATCGTGCGCAAATGTCAGATCGCAAAATCATAATTGTACCGCTGTAATGAAATAACAACGCGAAAATCGTTGTGCTGTTGCGCAACAATCCGAATAATAAATAACAATAATAATAATAATAATAAATTAATATGTAACATTAAAATAATATAATGTGTGCATGTGTACGCACGCATTACGTGGTGCGCAACGAAGTTTACGATGGACGAACCAATTGGAATTATTAATTAGATTTGTACGGCGCTAAAAATATATGGTCATGAATTTGACGGTTTTCAAATCGATGTGTTTTATTGTGTTATTCAATAATAATAATTACAATAACAATAATTACAATAAAAATAATAATAAATAATAATAATAATGATGATGATGATGATGATGACTGTAGAAAAATAATTATTCCATTTTCTATAAAACGTTTTGTATTTATATACTAAACACTATGCATTGTTACGGAACTGTGAACACGTGGTAAAAAAAAAACGGTCACGTTTAAATTGAAAGCGAACAGAAATCTCAGTCATTAAATACATAAAACTGTCTTTGTAGAAATAAAATGCATATTACACAGGTTTTCATTATTTGCAGGAATGCATGAAAATAATACAATAACATAATCCGTTATGCAAATACAGGTATCTTAATCTAGTAACCTTTACCAGCAGTGTTTTCAATAATATCCATTTGGGGTATCTACTATGGCATAAGTTATTCTAAAATATTTCCGTACGAGAAAATAATTATTTATTTTTGGCTTACACTTTGTTGATTTCCAATTTCTTCCACTACGAAAAATAACTCTCACTCATACTATGGATGCAGTATACTTGATATATTGAATCTATGCACAATAATATTTCAAAAGAAATTAATCTTAGGTAAAAAATTGACTAATGTTATTTTTTCTCGGTATATGTACCCAATTTAATTAAAACATATGTACATCAATTATATATACTTGTTTTACCATACAATCTACTTTTAAACGTATTTGTTTCTCAACGCTGAATATCAATACTAGTATATTCCATTTTACTATAAGCATAGGTAAAGATGTTATTTTCTTAAACATTTTAGATGAAATAAAAATTAAACTGAAAACAAAATAAACAATTATTTTCATTTGTAAACGAATAAAATGCCTTTGCGCATAATCAAAAACTATTGTACGAAATATTCAATGATCAAAAATTAGATCACCGGTGAAATATCGAATCCCGTTTTCAAACCGACATCACTACGATCAGAGGTGGATAGGCCCATAGGGAAAAAGGGATTTTCTCTGTGGGCCCTCATCCAATATCATGTCGGTGGCCCCCTGGATACCATTAATTTTTTCATGAAAATTTATTATTTTTTTTTATAGTTAAATTATTTAAATTAAATTAGGATGAGTAAATATAATTCATTTTTTAAAAGAATTTTTTTTTTTATTTTGATAACCCCATTAAAATATTTCCCTGTAACAAAAAAACAACTTATCCACCTCTGACTACGATACAACGTTGGAAACGAAAAAAAAAATCTATGTAAATAACGACTACACAATAAGATTTATTTTATTTTCGACACGATTTGGTATAATATTAGTACAAATGTACGGACTTGTTGCGACAATAAACGGTTTCGAATGGAACTATATTGAAATACCTATACGCCGTGTTGTCCGTAACATTCCGATTATTATTACCTTTCGGCTTTCGTACACACGCGCAAACGCTTTATTCTTATTCGCGTTGGCATGTGTGTGCGTTTTGTGTATGTGTACATTATTGTTTACTGTAGAAATGCAACACGTTAGCGCGTAAATCGTGTAAACAGAATTACAATAAAATCACCGATATGAATGAAAAAGATTAATGTTTTTCAGTTTAAACGAGGAATTCAAACGTTTACACAAATAAACCATAGGTCAACATGTATTTCAGTGCAGTAATAATTTATGTTTGCAATAATACGGTGTGTTACGATTAACAATGCGTTGTGAAAACATTAGCACCTATAGTATAGAAATCACGAATAGAGCTATTGACTATGATAAACGTTTTGGTTGGTAACGCAACTCGTGGAGCGTTCGAATTCGAATAATCAATTATTTTATGAAATCATAACTACGGTTATTCGATTGCGATTATACATTTGACAACTATTATTGATAAAAAAAAAAAAAAAAAAAAAAAAAAAAAAAATCATAGACAAGCGTTGCACCTGTGTATTTATCCATCACTCATTTCATCGGCTTACGCTATGATTATTGATGTACAGGTTTTTTTTTTTTTCGTTTTTTTTCGAAAACGTCTTCGTTGCGTATGTGTATCGAATATCTATCTATAACGAAACGATTTAATTTTAAAGTTCGCGCACGTTCCATAAACATTATAGACCTCTCCGAAAACGTACGTGTTATATTGACGCAATAATGTTTCGTATTTTTGCAGGAGATGAATCGAACGATCAAGCGACCGCGGAATCGTACTGGACACCGGGACACATACAGAGCGTGTCGGAAGAAGATCTGACGCCGTACGCTCAACCCGAAAACGCTTTCCCGTCTGCCCACGGACTCGTCCAGACCCATCCGGCCACGTTTTCCGGATTCGGAAGTAAGCCATCACTTTGAATATTACCGAACGTGGGGGAATATCACACAACACTGTACGTAACGCGATTGCCGTGGACGCATAGACTTGCACTCGGTGACGTACGTGCAGGCCGTAGAGCGATGCACATAGCAATATTTTTTCAATACCCGACACCTGGGGGGTGGCATGCTCTAAATCGATTAAATTATATCTTATACCGACTGTAACTTGTAATTTTACGAATATGTTTTTTTTTATTATTTAAACCATACGTAATGTAACACATGAATTATAAGTTTACCACCAATAGCTGGTTACAAAGTTCGTACAACTTAGTGAAACTACGTAGTTTGTTAAATTACTTCTGAACCGAAGGGTCCGGAGTCGTTGAAACGATCGAGAAACCAACACGTCCGGATGAGTTAAAATTAAGAACCTGTATCGTGTGTTTTACAACGCCCAATCGAGTCCGAAAAACAAGAAGTATAAATAATACCAAATACACTCGTACCAATATTACTAACTACTGGGTACCGTTCGGAAACGTGTTAAGAAGTCCCGCGGGGGTCGTTTCTACGTGCGCGACCGTTGCGAACCGCGTTTAATTATTTCGATCGAATCGCACCGACATTGTACCCGCTCGCGGTTCGCAACTTATTGCCGGCGATATAATACCGACCGACGGGTAGACCGATAGGTGTACCCAGAGGCTAAAATATATACTTTTTCGTACAGCCCCACTTAAGGATTTTGTCGTACTCCCCTTTCAAAAATGTGTAAAATTAAAAACAAATACCATAATATAAAGAATAGAACCACAAAACACTTTTCAATTTCGTATTACACAAAATGTATCGTATTGCACACAATCGTAGTCCCTGGGTGTACCGATCCGTGCCACGGGTGCTCCTGATTTACGGTCCCGCAATGCCCAGTTCCGGATTAAACATCTGTGGGCAATTCAAATTTTGGACCCTAAAAAATTATTTCTTACATACATCTTTAACATTGCTATCCAAAAATTAAAATAAACAGCTTTAATAATAACCAACTATTATTAATGAATCAGATCATGTTTATCAATTTTTTTATTTGCAAGAAAAATGAATTAATTATTATATTGTTTCTATTTTTTTCAAAACAATTTTACTATTATTACTGCCATATAACACTTACAACTTAATATGTATATTATATTTCGTAATGACTTTTGTCCCGTAAATTACTGTAAATTACAGGTATCATTAAATAAAAAAAAATATAGTCATCCGTTTTCACAGGGCCTCTTAAATGAATGAGGCCTTGAGGCGGGCGCCTACTCCGCCTAATGGGTAATCCCACGTTTTTAATAAACGTATTTGCCGCTCCGTCCGGCGCGAGTATTGATTGTCAAACAGGTGGACGTAATAGCACAAATACAATTGGATAAACGTGCGTTTTTGTTTCCAACAGGCATTTCCGAAGTGTCGCACAATAATTTGCCACCACTGGGGTACTCATCACTAGACTTCGACAGAAGAGGTCTCGAAGAGTTACGCAAGAACGCCGAGTTCTCGTCGCCGGAAGAATGCGCGAGGGCTTGTCGCGACGGAGAGCCACCCAGGATATGTTATTACCATTTCACCGCGGAGTTATACAACGTGCTGGGAGCGTAAGCATATAAACGCATTATACTATTATTATTATTATTATTATTATTGTTATTGTTATAGTCGATCCTCTAACGAACTTTTATCTAACGAAGGTCTGCATCACGATTCACGGAATCATGACGTTTTCGTTAAAAAAAAAAAAAATCCTTTCATTAAATGTTTACACTACTATCTTATAGTTAAATAATAATATTCACATCCCGGAGCTTTTAACCTATAAATATATATTTCGAAAAGTCCGTTGACAAAACAAAAAAATGAAAAATGATTAATAAGGTACGTGTGATAAGTTTACACAACCGTATCTACGAACGTACCGTTTTATTAGTATTATTTTTTATTATTTACCTATGCAATATTATTATTGTTATTTTTCACATCATTGTTGGACGTCATATTGCACGTTATGATTGTATACATTTCGTGTGGAAAAAACGAGTTCCCATGTGGAAAATATTGTTTTTGTTTTCAACGTATTTTTAAAAAAAAAAAATTTCAAAAAACCTTGTCCGTTAAACAGAGGTTCGACTGTGAATTTATCAACGTTCATTGCAGTGTCGCGTTTGATGTTGTCGATGTGTATTAAAAGCGCGTAGGCACCGCAGCAATGGACGCCTTCGCGCTGCGATAAATCTACACGTTACGACACGCGTATGGACACGCGGTGTATAATTTGTAAGCGAACCATTTGTTCGCGTTACATATCATTAACATTGTGTGGCGTTTACGTGTATTATATTATACATATAACTTAAGTCTCTGTATACGTATTACTGAAAGAGAAAAAAAAAAATGAAAAAACCGATAAAAACCGATAAAAACCAACGCCTTTTGTATCTGTATACACAGGGCTTGTCAAGTGTGCACGCCGAACGCGACCAACACTTTGTGGAGCCACTGTCAGTGCGTGTTGGCCGACGGTGTCGAAAGAGGAATGCTGGCCATAAACCGTATGCTACCCGGTCCAACTATACAGGTAAATATCGGTCGTGTACGTCCGGCAGACAACAATGCCACGGACGTTAGGCGCAGGGAAAAACTGCGTTACCTGAGCTTGTTATCGCGTCATCGTCGGTCGTCGAGCGACAACACGATAGCAAAACGTTTAACGGATTTAACTTCCGAATCGGATCCCGACGATGGAAACGATAAACTTCTTTTATTTTGTTCGTCAGCTAAACGTGGAAAATCGTGGAAAAAGCGATTTTATAAAATAAAAAAATAAAAGGTCGCGGTCAATTCGGCAGTCGGTTTGTCGTCGAAATTTCGCCGGTAAACAACGAATTTTCCTTCCGCCGTTACATTGCACCATAATAAATTATAGTTTGCGACACAAAGACCGTATTCCGTTTACGTACTGCGAACCAGTTCATAATTTTGAAATTACACATTTATGTGACGTACACGATTATTAACACGTAAAACGCAATCGGACGGCAACGTCGAAAACTCGAAATTCAAAGTACTGATCTAAGTCGTTAAATAATAAAGGGGGGAACGATCGCCCTTAGGACATCTGTGACGAGCGCGATCCCGACCGCGGATGTCGACTGACGATTCGGAAATCTTAGATCATCACGTGGCGAAACGTGATCGACCGGTATTTATTTTCCCCAAACGAATGATACCGGTGGGTGGACGGCTCCGACGTCGAGCGGACAGCCGTTACCGTCACGTCCACCGGTCCGATCGTTTCGGTCGGTTTTGTTCTTACTGTGACTGTGCGTCGTCCGTAGGTCTGCGAAGGAGACAAGGTAGTCGTTGATGTGCTGAACCACATGCAAGGTCTGGAGCTGGTCATCCATTGGCACGGACTTCACCAACGGAACACGCAGTACAGCGATGGCGTGCCATACGTCACCCAGTGTCCCATACACGAGGGAAACACGTTCAGATACCAATTTGACTCCAACAGTGGTACTCATTTCTGGCACGCGCATTCCGGTAAGCGAAGGGTCGGGGGTGGGAAGGAAGTGCATACTTCGCCAGCGCTTCCCGAAACATTATACGCGTTTCTCGACGAACTTGACCGGTCGATCGACCGTTATCGGGTCTACCATCATCGTAGGTTCCTACACGAGAGTAGCAGGTAAACAATTATATACTCAAGTGATTTTCATTATACTTTTTATTCGTGACGATGAGCTATGCGATTTTTATTATATTTTTTAATCATCATATATTCATTTTTGAAGATTCGTATGTACTTTTTTAACTGTGTATATATCCATTTTTACCCTTTTCCGCCGCGTAGGAACTAATGTATGTATTTTTTGTACCTACTACTCTCGTGTAGAAACTTACATTCGCCCTCTGAAACGCCCTACACGTGTCCACCCACACCCGGCGATGTCCGTCAGCAATCCTAACTCTGTCCCGTACGAATCGTACTGCTCAGATCTACCGCATCTCGATCGTCTCGACAACCCTCGGCCGTACCACGTTTCCCCTCTTTTCCCCCTACCACCGTATACGGACATAAGAATTATTATTCTTTATGTGCATAGAACGCAGATGTCGTTACAGAAGTACAGCTTAATCTAGTCTCAAGGCACTATTATCGTTTTACCCGTTCAACACTACCTTGTACAGTTTTTTTTTTCGACATATGATACACCGTGCACTATAAATAATTTATACGGGAATTGCTTAATCGAACGTTTTATTCTATAAAATAGTCATAGTAATGATTAGTAATAATAGCAATAGTGTTTCGGTAGTTATCACTATTGTTGGTGGTCACTGGTCCTACGCGCGCACAACTCCGTTATAGGTAATGTCCGTGTGGTATCGATCGATCGTTCGTGTGAGATTATTCGGTTTTGTTCGACTAGACAATAAACATGTATCGCTATTAAATGCGCGTACCTGCGTGGCCGATAAATTTTCTTAAAAATAATGTGACAGTGTATGTTTGCTCCTATCCGGCTGGCGGCCGTGATTCACACGCATTAACCCAGTTCTATTTCCACGATAATGGCAGTCAGTGTCACATGGCCTTATGTAATGTAAAATGCAATCTGGTGAAAGTCGATGCATTAACTCGGGACTGGATGACGTTAAATTCGAAAATTTCAATAAAAATAAAAATAAAAAAATAAACTCAGGATGCATATGGAGTACCCGTGATACAGACGTCACACTTTTTCGTAGACGTATGATCGATAGTTATTAATTCGTCAAGCAACACTTCGGTACGTTTCAATCGGTGCGCTCTGCCAAGGAACGATTTCTCATGATTTAATAATAATATGCTTGGTACGTTCGTCCGTATTTGATCTTGAGTAGATTAAACATTTTTCGAAATTCTACCACTTGACATGTTAACCTGAGAAAACTTTTACAAATAATAAATTCAATATTTCAAATCATAAAATTATAATTATATAATTGACAAATAAAACATAAATTCGTTTAATTCATTTCACTCTTTTGCACTAGATAATTAACGCAATTGTTATAAGATCGTCATGGACCGTGTTATATAATAGATCTACAATGAAAATTAATCGTTCGTTAAGCTCAGTAGTTCGAGCTTCAATACAGCGGTCAGCAGTATTTGTTAAACGTGAAAAACGTTTCCTGCATTAGTTAGCGTCATTATTTTAAAGCCTCTAAGATCAAGTTAAAGATTATAAGCATTTTCACAACCAGAATTAGGTGCAATATTAAAAATATTATCTATTCAGCGACGCGTTTTTTTTTTTTTTGTATTCGTTTGCTTAATAATAATCCAACTTTTACACGCACGCTTGGATGTGTGAAACTCACTTAACGACTGGCACACATCTCAATTTTATTGTTCCGGGGTTATCAATGGCCTATAATATTAATTTCACCCTCCAGTGAACTGAATCGATATCATCTGCAAACACGTCGCGGTGACGGTAACCCGTCAGCGAATTTCTATTTCGCCGTCGAGATTTACGCGTGCAAACATAACGTTATTACAAAATAAAACGTCATTAACATCGTGTTGCCGTATCGTTATTTAGGACTACAGAAAATCGACGGGATCTACGGTAGCATCATAGTGCGACAGCCGCCCTCCCAAGACCCCAACAGTCACCTGTATGATTACGATTTGACCACGCACGTGGTACTGTTGTCTGACTGGCTTCACGAGGACGCGATGGAACGATTCCCCGGAAGATTGGCCGCGAACACCGGACAGGACCCTGAGTCGATATTGATCAACGGCAAAGGACAATTCACGGTAAGCTACGTTTAAGAAATTACAATCCTATTGCCCACCCCCGTTATCACGGTAACATTCATATAATATATATTAATAATGACAACTACCCTTATTCCGCACAGGATCCCAACACCGGGTTCAGCACGAACACACCACGGGAGACTTTCACAATCACGCCGGGTAGAAGATATCGATTCAGAATGATCAACGCGTTGGCATCCGTGTGCCCCGCTCAGCTAACCATCCAAGGACATCCTCTAGTACTGATCGCCACGGACGGCGAGCCTGTGCAGCCTGTCGTCGTCAACACGATCATCTCGTTCTCCGGTAAGAACAACCGAAAACGTACTTAGGGATTTTAGGGATGGAGTGTAAGGGGCGCGTTTCCCCCCCCCCCCCAAAAAAAAAATCAACTAGCGAAATTTATACCATTTCACTCTCATTGACATACATGTTGTACTCAAGTGTGTGTTGACCATTATTGAATGGGCCAGTATTATGTTGAAATTCTATTTTTACAATGATATTCTAATTTTCCTTTGGTATATTTAACATAGACTTGGGCATCCGGGGAAATCTACTGCGCCCCACGGGTCCCTATAGATACGTTAATGCAGACCTTTTAACCCTTCCTGGTTTCGGTTTTCATGTCTCTATGGTTACAGGTGAGAGATACGACTTTGTCATCAACGCAGACCAACCGGTCGGCGCGTACTGGATCCAGGCCAGAGGTCTTGGCGAGTGCGGAAACAAGCGCGTACAACAGTTGGGCATACTCAGGTATGCGAGAGGACCGTACCAACCGAAATCCAAGGCACCCACTTACGACATCGGTCTGCCGCAAGGAGTTGTGAGTATATCAATTATTTCGGATCGCGGTATTTCCCTCTGCCCATTTAATAGCACGATATGCACTTCGAATGATAGGACATAACGTTCAACCCGTACCTCTAAAATAATTGTTCAACATGAATTATTCATGTTGAACCGTTCAGTAGAATATTTCGGAAGTATTAACGATCGAAGACCTAGCGAAGATCTGATTCGAGAAATCGCGTTTTATCTTAGACGTAGTAAGTATCGAGTCTAAGTTGTTTTATTCGTTTAATAAGTTAAATCGTTTAATTCAGAATACTTCAATTCGTTCGCATCGAAATTGTTCAAAATCAATTGTTTGTTCGGGATAAACTTCCAACCATTTCACTTATTATGTATTCAAAATGGTATACAAAAACTACCCTCCCTGATCTGACTCTGGTAGTGCACATAATGACTACCCCGTTGTCACCGCTAAAGATTACATTGTTCAACGTTTGTATAGTATAATATGTTCGATTCGATATAGGTAATGAATCCATTGGATGCTGTCTGTGATCGTCCCAGAACCGATGCTATCTGCGTGAACCAATTGAAAAACGCCAAAGTTGTGGACAAAGGACTTTTGCAGGAAAGACCCGACGTGAAAATATTTTTGCCATTCAAATTCTTGTTCTACAGACCCGACGAACTCTTCCAGCCTCATCAGTACAACAAATACTTGGGTAAACATAAATATTCACAAAATAATTTGATTTCGGCGAAACGCCATCACGGTGCAATATATTATAATTATGAAACATTTATAATGTGAGTGTTTTTTTTTTTTAACATTTTCAGTCGCTCCCGGCGGTGGAGACCACGTTATCAGTTTAGTCGATGAAATCTCTTACACATCACCGGGATCACCTATGCTTTCCCAAATTGACGATATACCTCCAGAATCATTCTGTAACGGAGACAACAAACCAGCCAACTGTGGCAGGAATTGTATGTGTTCACACAAAGTCGATATTCCCATGCACGCTGTTGTTGAAGTTGTGTTAGTCGACGAAGGTAAATACGTGAATATTGCAATGATATTTCATCTTAAATTAAGTATATACATATAAATATGTTTATACAGCTATTCAATTATAGTTTTATATAAAATATCCTTTTGTAAGAAAAATCTATAAAAAGGATAAAAAAAATCGATAATTATTACACTGAATATAATAACGATTATCGGATAATGCGATAATCTATAACTATTCAATCACTTGATATTGGTTTCTAACTAATGAAAACAACGTTTTGATCATAATAATCTAAGAAAAATTAAATTTTATTTATAATTATATATACGCCAATGGCAATACAAATCATTCAGAAATAATGGTTTTCATCTTTTTTTTCTTTTTATGTTACTCACGTCGTCGTTTTTTCTTCCTTTTATAGTTCAACAGCCTAACTTGAGTCATCCGTTCCATTTACACGGTTACGCATTTAATGTCATCGGTATGGGAAGATCACCTGACAAGAATGTGAAAAAGATCAACTTGAAACACGCCCTTGATCTGGACCGAAGAGGTCTACTAGACAGACATTTCAATTTACCACCAGCTAAGGACACGATAGCTGTGCCTAACAATGGATACGTTGTATTCCGATTCAGAGCCGATAACCCGGGTAAATATGAAATTTGAATTGATTTACCTATAAATATCAGAAAATATGCGTAATGGGTCGGTTAGAGTTTGATAATTCTCTGTGTACAGCAATGAGTTCCCAACCATTATTTTTTTTTTTTTTTTTTTATTTTTTTTTAATGATGTTGCATTCTTTATATATATTATTTAAAATATGTTCGTTATAAATAACGTTTAACAAATTTCGGTATTTGTCTTGAAAATCCTACATTACAATTAAATCGTTTTAAATGTTACAATTTAACGTGAATATTTTAAACGCTCTCGTAGGGGTACACGAACTATTGGGCAACAAAATTAGGGTAAACTAACGACAATACGATTAAGTTGTACGAACGCATGTTCAGTGAGGACCATTGTCTTCTCGAAGAATAAAAAAAATATGTATCAAAAACAACATTTTTTATTAACTGAGAATCACGTTAACTTGTTCGCAGGCTACTGGCTGTTCCATTGTCATTTCTTGTTCCACATCGTAATCGGTATGAACTTGGTGCTGCACGTCGGCACGCACGCCGACTTACCACCGGTCCCCGAGAATTTCCCACGCTGCGGCGACTTTTTACCTCCGGTCAGTTTTCACTGATCGCGTTCATCATACGTCAGTTCAAAATCAAGTGCTCATATATAAGTAAATATACGCAACGCGGTAACCACGGTCAGAGAAACGACAAAAGAAAAGATATGCACCCACAGCGTGTGCATGTGTTTTTTTTTATTTATTTTATTATAAAAGATATATAATATAACGTATTCATGTGTACATATATTGATATAAAAACATTGAAATTTTGTACCTTAGAAAATAATGTGTTATGCCATAACGAAAATATGTTATTTAAATGTGTTAATATTAGTCACTTGTTCAATTGTTTTTTTCTTTCTTTTCTTTCATTACCTAAATAGCGTAAGTCATTTCACAATTATTTTTATCATATTTTTATTATTATTATTATTATTATACATACATATAATATCGTTTATCTAGCGCACACGTTTTTTTTTTTTTTTGTTTCATCGTTCATTTTCCTCTTGCCGCAGTAAATTAAAAAAAAAACTCATCAAAGCTTGCCAATATATACCTACTATACGTAGACATATTATTTTGTATTTTATCATTATTATCATAAAACATACGAATGCTTAATACCACTTAATACTACGTCTTATATTATTACTCATCTTGTAAATAATGTTTTAAATAATATTAGTAGATTCTAATTGATTAATTTGTATTATGAATATTATCAATGTATAAATTAGAATAAACGTTTTGTTTCATTGTAAGAATACCTGTACTATATTATTTTTGTGCTATAGACTAACAAAACAATTATTTTCTCTTGCTAATTTTTTTGATTAAAATAATGTCAGTAAAATTGAATTTTTATTTGTTATTAATTATTTGTTTTTTTTTGTTTTTTTTTTTTTTTTATATATATCATAAAATAACTATTTATTAATATTTCTTTTTAGAAAAATAAATATTACACAATAGTTTTGCTAAATATTCGTTTAATAAAATCAAAAATATTGAATATAGTTAAAAAAAATATTATTTATATTATTTCAACATTTTGATAGAAGTAAAAAACATAAACCATTAGTATGGTATTCATTATATATAAGATTTCATAACAACAATTTGACTTTAAAATAAATGAAGTGAAACTTACAATTTTTATAACAGTTTAGAATCTAACATTTAACATTGACACATAAAATATCAGCAATTTACTGATGTTAGTATTCGCAATGGTTGATTATTTGATTCGAAATAATTCGAAGAAAAAGACTCGCATAATCAATGGTTGATAATAAAATATATGCACTAAAATAGATGTAAGTACCTATATGGGTCCTACAAAATTAATTTCATCCAAACTTATATCATATATATTTTATACTAGCTGAATTACCCGACTTCATCCTGCACACTCTTGGTAGGGACTTAGTTTTTAATGGATTATTACCTTACACTATTTAAATCCTGGTTTAATGTAACTGTTGAATGTATAACGAATATAACGAAATTTCAAATGAATCGGTTTAGTAGTTTTGATTGTACACCAGAGCCGTGTCAAACATTTCAGCGCCCCGGGGCAAATTTTTTTCTTCTGGGCCACTGGGCATAGATAGCATATTAAGTACAGATAAGGGCGTCTCCTTACTTTTACAAAGCTACGGTGGAAATTGTCTCCATTAACCCCCCCCCTCTTAAAACTACCCTATTTAAGGTGTTAGTTTGATGTATATATGTTGGCAAATAAGAAAAGTCGCTGTTGAATTTTATATATAAAAATTTTGATCTATCTCGTTTGAACGTTTAATTTAAAATGATTCATGTTTATTTTTTGTACAGTGTAATCTCGTGGTAAAAAATTGATTATTGTTTAATAATTAAAAGTGGTGTAAACAAAACATAACATAAAACAAAATAACATCACACAAGAAATCAGTGTCTGAGCTTAATATGAAATTGTTATTACTTTTAAAATGTATTCATTTCTTATGTTTCTATTCCTCTCAGTTTTGGTGATAAAAATTTAACTATAGTTCAACAGTCAAAAGTGGCATAAACTTAATATAACGTGTACATTTATCTTACAAATAAAAATTGTTTCTTAGTTAAGTAAGAAAAAATTATTTTTCTTAGAATGATTCTATGAAATTCAAAAAATTACGAGTAGGTACAGATATATAATTTAATTTTACTACATGTTAATTTCATGAAAATGTTTTAATACTTTTTGATTAAATTTTGTTCTATAAATCATGATATTTCAACATAAAATTAGTTTAACTATTGGTAATTTACCCGTGTTCAAAATACCTCTTTAATTTTGTATATTCATTTTTTAAATTAAAAATAATATACTAGGAAATATAGAATCTATTCTTAAAAAACTATTTCCATTAAATAATTATTATTATATATATATATATATATATAATTATAATTTATTAAATAATAAAATCATCATAAAATATATTAATATATTTTATCATAAAATATAAATATATACGAATATAATATAGCGTTGAATAATTATTTTAACTCTTTTTTTCATTGTGAAATTCATCTTTGATAATCGAATAAACTATTTAATGGTTTTGCTAAAAGGGGAAATGTAAAATAAATCAATTTATTTGAACTAAGTACATGATATTTCCATTAAATCATTGTTCAGATTATTTTAATTAAATGAAATCAAAGGCCTGTGTGCCGGTTAATTTCGTTAGTAAAATTCTGAAAACAAAATACGAAATTTGTTATCTTCGATAAACAGTAATAACAATAATATGTAGTATACGAGTATTATATAGTGCATAATGTGTATATTATATTTAATGTTGTACATATTTACACTCGACACATTTTAAAATTCATTGGACATTTTTAAATGTTTATTATTTTTTTCCTTTTTAACCTTTACCAAGTACTGCAATGGTTTAATAATTAATTATTACATTTATATGGTCAAATTACCGTATTATATGAGCTGAATTCAATTTGTCCATCTACGGCTGATTTTTTTTTTTTGTATTGGAGTTCGATTTATTTAAGTTTATTATTAATTATTAGAAACAAAAATAAAGTAAAAGTAAATCCACCGTGAAATAAATGTAGTAATGAATTAAGATACACTACATTTCTCAATAATTGACTAGCTCATATTTGAACATCATCAGATGCAATTAATAATACAGTATACCTGTGCTCTGACAATTGAGTTCTAGTAAAATAATGACAATATCATAAAAGACGGAGTGCGCTGTGTGACTGTGTCGTCATTATTATATATTTTTAAACATGTGTTCACTGGCCAATTTATTTGTTAGGTTTTTTGATGATATTCCCAATAACGTTTTTTATACGAATATATATTGTACCCTCTTTAACGATGAATAGTCATAACACTATATTGCGCAACGTTGATATACCAGACAATATGGAGTTTAGTTTAAAATATTATCAGCAGAAAACATTATTATACAATTGTACACTTATTGATCAATTCTTCACGGATTTATAGAATGGCTGTGACACAATTTACATTTGACAACAGCAGTCAGGGAAGCCAAAGAGCAACTAAGCATATATTTTTCTGTTAGTTACGTTGGCCCATTGCGGTCGTACACAGTTAGCGGAACATGTAATTATCATGAACTGTTTGCGTGTCGTTTGTGGTAGTTTGTTATCCAAAATAGATTTGTTGTAGTAAATCACTGATCCTGATATCGAATGAATAAACAATTTTTTGTATACTGAAAATATGTTTGAAGTATCTTGTCGATAACATCTCCAGGAAAAAACGGATTGGTACGAAGGAAACGGGTCTATGATATAAAAATTTCGTTTTATGTTAGTTTCTGAATGGATTACAGTAATTTAAATAAGTTTATATAGTATACGAGATTGGTCATTTAATACATGATGGTATTATCCTTTATTTTATAAGAAAGTTAAATTAATTAATTGATATATGCTTAATTTTTTTTTCCAGCTTTACGATCCATCGAGGATCTTTACCACCAAAACTACCACCTCCCATTTCTTTCTATCATACGCTATTACTCGCCAATCCACCCCACCATGAGCTGCCGTATTCCATATCTCATTTATACTGTCTATCCATCTTTTTCATGGTCTTCCCCTTGGTCTCCTCTCTTGGTCTCTCTGATATATGCTTAATAATCAATGTTTATTTTTAAACTTCTGCTATCAATCAAATGATAACAAATTGTTCGTTTTAACCCATTATATAACACATACATTTTTATTATAATAATATCGATTGTTGATCATATAATATTATGGCGTTATTTTTTTCTAGTGTTTAATAATGAGCAATTGGATGACAAAAAAGTGCACAGAGACCTTAAGTTTATCATTTTTATCATGTTGATGTTAATATTGATCATTTGGAAACGACGGTGATTGTGCTTAACATTTGAGAGGCTGAAGACAAAATTAGATAATGATAAATATACATTATGTGAGATTATTTTTGATGACAATCGCTATTTAAGATAAAAAATCAAAAAAAAATATCATTTCTTTATTAATATTTTATTTCTATTTACATAATATTATTTAATTGAAAACATTTATAGCGGAACAACTGTGCATAATATAATCGTATTTTACGACGAGGACAACAAAGACAATACACAATACTTGGTAAAAAAAAATGGAACACTGTGGTAGTTTTATAACAAAAAAAATATTATATCGACTTTGACGAAGGTTGGACATTTTTTTACTTTTACTTTTTTCCTATTTTACATTTATTTTTTAATGTTCACTTGAATTCAATATACTGTGTTTTTATATATTAGATTGCATCAAAATACACTCGGACTTAGTTAAAGGTTTTGACTTTGAAGTATATAAGGTTTTGACCATATATTTATTATCTTCAAATGATACGATTAAATCATTTTTAATGACAAAATCATCTCAAAAATCGTTCATTCAAGACAGCATATCACCTAAGAAATACATAATCGTAAGTATAATCTTAGAACAATATAAAAAAACCTCTAAAGTGGCACCTACACAGTTCTCATGCTATGTGCATGAGTTACTTTCATTACAAATTATATTTTATATTTATCCGGAGGACTATTTGTTACACTCTAGAGTTATAATGTATATGTTGCATTTATAAATATATTATAACATTGATGACTGCTGTTAAAAATAAAATGTCATGTTTGGATGAGATCCATTTTATTTTACATACTCGAAAAATACGCGATGGCATATTATTGTATTGGCTTTGATGATTTAAATGGAAACAGATGAAAATAAATCATTTGCCGTCATGGTCTATACTTATGTATGATAAATAAAAACTCCAATAAACTTTAAATCCATTATAATAGTTTTATGAGTATTTGATACAGTTACGAAGAAACGAAAATATAATTCCCGACCCAATTAGTATGGAAATTTTATTATCAGAAACTAACTCGAATGTACCCATAATTGTATAAAATTGTATATTTTAATAAATTTTTAAAATAACAAATCAAATGCTTTTAATCTTGTAAGCTTCATATACCAATCTATTTAATAAAAATTCAAATAAATATCTCCTATGAGCAGTGCTGGATTAACAAATTTGCTGCGTGTGGACAGATTTTGAAATATCGCCCTTCAACCCCCTCCATAAACCAAATAAATATATATATATATATAATGTATACATATTATGTATAGTACATGTATATATATGTATATAACAAGTAACAACATAGTTCAGATTGTTTAATTAATTTATATTTATAAACATATTGTAACACCGGTAGTTTTTAAATTTATAGTACTAAATATAAACATTATAATACAAATGTATTCAATTTAAGACATTTACAACTATTTTTTAGCTTTCTGAGCAACAAATTCTTTAATTATATCATTCCAACTTATACTTTTTAGGAAAATATTTTCAATAGATATTAGAGACATCTATGACATATTTTCATTAGATAGTTATGTTTTCTGGTAGTTCTTAACTCTTTTTAAAACTGAGAAGGATCTCTCTCCGCTAGAATTTGAACATGGTATAAATATAAAAAGTTTTAAAGCTATTTGCACAATAGGAAATGAATCGTTTAACTTTGATACTGTTAATACTTCAAGAAAACTGTGCATGGATAATTTTTCATCTTCTGAAAAGTACTTCATTATTGTTTTAAATTGTTTAATCTCATTCTCAAAGTCCGGTTATGAAAACTATAAATATTTATTAATTGCTTTGATTTTTCTCGTAAAATATCATCGTCAATTTCTTCAACATTAAAAAAAACCCCCAAACAACTCATTTGTTTCAATATTTGCATTTGTATTCGATTTCCACTCTTATTGATTGAAAATAAAAAATTAGGTACATTTTTTTTCCAGTCGTGATTCGTGAACCGAATTCGATAACGACGACAACTATGACCACGAGATGAGAGAGTGATATAATAAAAACAATTGCTTGGTAGTGTGTAAATAAATTATTTGAAACTATTAATATCAAATTTAATAATCTGATGGTTATAAATTATAATACACTCACAGATAAATAAGAAATACAATAAACACAATTTTATGTTAGTGTAACGAAAATAAAAATGCATAGGTCCAAATGCTAAATAATAATAATATGGTCTTACCCTTAATATGCTGAATGTCCACTGACGAAATAACTCAATAGTTTAATATAATATAACTATTATAATTATTATATTATATAATTGTTATTAATATTTTTCGATAATAAATTAATAATTTTTCCTAATAACTAATACATTCATTAGACAATTTCAAAAGTTGTTGACGCCGTCAAAAAATTGCCACCCGGGGTAGCTGCTTCCTTTGCCCCCCTCCTTAACCTAACCCTATTGTAAACTGAATATCCGGTTTTCCATCACGGAACTGTCTTTACCGGTGCCAATATTTTTAAAATCCCTCATTATTACGCGTCTAGAGTGTTGGAGAGAACATCACGGTAAAATTTCAACTTCATACATTTTGTCGTTTATGAAACGTAGTGATGATCAATGAGCGATTGGTATTTACATTTTTTTTTTTAAATAAATTTTTATTTATTTTTGGCTGAATTACTCGGCATTGCCTGGTAAGAAAATTGTAAGTGTTCAACTCTTTTTGGACGTTACTCTCAGTAGAAGCTATGCCTTTTTAAGTGTAAATCACCTGAAATAACGGTTAAAGTATTAATTTTTAATGAATTGTAATAGATAAATATTAAACATAGTCATACAACCGAAAAAAGCGGCGAGTGTCTTTGCTGGAAAAGAAGAGAGTCACTCTGGAAAATAATTTTCAATAAAATAGACACGTTCACTATTTTCTAAATGCACACTGAAGTGTGTGACAGTGAAGTTCCTTTTCGTTTTTTTGGTTGTTATAGCAACCGTAAAATAAAAACTGCACGTTCAAGCCTTATCTGGTGTATTGATGGCTTCACTTTCCTTTTTTTCGCAGTAAAATGTAATCAATGTTTTTCTTCGAGGTACAATCTATCTCTGTACCAAGTTCCATCAAAATCTATTAAATAGTTTAAGAATGCATAAAAGACGACAAAGGTAGAAACGTTTTTTATGATATAAAAATATAGATTATTAAAAAACCATCTACCCTATTATCTTGGCTGAAAGTAAGTTCCCCACGACATATAAAAGGTAAAAATCATCCTTAAGTTTACCTACATAAGCCCCTACATGAAAAAAAATGCACAGGTAAGTTCCTACATGAATACAAATTTCCTTCATGCTTTATTCAGACTCAGGACTGACATTGTAGTTTGTGTGATTAAAATTTGTTTGTTTTGTGTTTTATATAACATTCTTAGCCAATTTTTAATTTAATCTTATTTGTTTTATGCTGTATTCTAATATATTTTTTTATATTGCTTATTTTTTTATATCTATAGGTATCTGTTTTATATTTTTATGTTTTTATTTTAATAAATATTTATGTTAGTAATTTTTATAAGATTTATGTGTTTGGAACGAACATCGTTGGCTCCCTTTTTTCAAATAGAACTTAAACTTGAACAACATTTATATTTTTAATGAATTCAAATGGTTTTTAAGGTGTTCAAATTTATTTATAATTTTAAAATTATATGTATAAATAATAAATAATAAATATTGATTATGATATGTTTAAGTATGGGTCTTAACATTTATAAGTAAAATATACCTAATGTGTTTTGTAACTGTACCATTTATACTGAATACGGTATTCATAAATATAAAATATAAAAATTTAAACGAACGGCCAAATGAACGGGTTCAATTTTGCATAGAATTTGAACGTGAACGTCTTTACTTAAAAAAAAAAAAAAATTAAACATGAATGTGAACGAGTTTCTTTTTTATGTATTGAATACGAATGGTTCAAACACTGTAAAACTTCTATAATTTTGAATATATTAGAATGATGATGATGATAAATACTTGAGTTTAATTCGTAGTGAGAAATTTCAAAAAAATTTTTAGTTAAACGTAAAGTACTATTTTCTTTTATGAAATTTGTCACTAAATAATCGTAAAATTCGTTTATTTTATTATTATCTTTTTTTTTAAGCCACGAAACTTGTGCTTTTGTTCGTGTAGGAACTTACATTTTAAACGTTCATTTTCTATGAACTTACGATTTCTCCCAATATCTTATGTACATATTCTTATTAATCTTGAATGTCTAATAAATGTAATCCTTGAGCAGATTATTATTAGTTTGCTCTTAAAATCCCGAACACAGTGTGAAGCATATATATCTCCCAATGACGTAGTATTTATTTTTACTCTGTAAGAATGTACAAACACTTTTATGAGTAAAAGTAAAGCTCGAAAAGTTTTAGGCAGCTCTTTAAAAGGATTACGAATTGAGCACGGTCAATGTGGTCCTTACGCGAAATGTTTTTTTTATTTTTTAAGCGCGAAAGAAGTCGTAAAAAATAATCAAAATACAATACAATTCACTCAACTCTCGTCTTTAGCAAATCTAATTTAGATTAGTATTTTCTTCAATATTATTTGAAATAAATAACCACAGACTTATAATGCTTATGATAATTATTTTCTTTCGTGTTTGATAAATTTCTCATTATTTCCGAAAGAAAAAAAATCATTAACTGTAAAAAATTTTATAATTTTAATGTTTTACTCGTATTCGATTGACAATATAATCAAAACATAATTTTATATTCTAACATTTTAATCTAACCATTGTCTTTTATTACGGACACTTCAAAAATCATCTATAAAAAAGTATACAACTTATAGTATGCAGTCTACAACTCAAACCAATTTTATAATTTTATAATATCATTGTGATTGGTCATTCACATAATATTATTTATAATTATTAGCCGTTTCAAATAACGAACGTATAAAAAAATATCATAAGACGTGAACGTTTTGAATATAAAATAAATAATCAAAAGTCGTTATTTAATAAATCCAATTTCGAAATACGTGCGGGTCTAATAGTTGGGTCAAACTGGGTGGGTCAAAAGACAAAATCCCTGTCGACAAAATAATTTTCGTTTTCGTTAAAGCCCAACGAGTCCCAAAACGGAATTCTTCCCATGTCTTCTTCGTCCATATAAATGTCCGTGGGGGAAGCGATCTTCAAGAACGACACTGCCGAATAGTTAGGATCTTTGCTTACAGGCGTCCAATCAAAGGAAGCATCACCAGTCGACGGTATCCTTTATCAACAATTAACAAAACGTGTTTGTGCCAGGGGAAAAATCCAGTAGATTTACCATGAAAAATATATTACCCCGTGAATGCAAACGACGTCCATACATTAACCACGGTTGACACCAATGACTTATCGAGTTCTGAATCTTCGACGTTCCCATATACGTTTCGTAGTGCGTACGCCGTGTCGTCTGCGTGACTAGCTCCTTTTGGATAAAAAAAAAATGAATCAATTTATAGCGTAATACTATTTTACGTTGGTTTACATTTATATAATATCCTTATTTTCCTCACCAAAATCCTCGTCCGTCTTCGCGAAATATTCCGACAGACTGTGTTTACCCCGGTACGCAAATTGGTATAAATAAACAGGTGACTTGTACAACTGGGCTTGCATCCTAGCAGCTTTTACTATGTCAACTATAAACAGACGATCGCTGATCATCTAAAAAATTGAAACTATTAAGATCAAAGTGACGAATTCGTACCGTTTACGTTATACTTCTATAAATTTCGCCGTATTTCCTATCACCAAATCCTCACTGTCCAAATATTGTTTTCTGATAAGTTGTGAAACATTATTGATTTTATCCGGTTGCACTGTGTAATTGAAATCCAACAAATGCGGAATGACTTGGTTCCAGTTTTCAGTAATAAACTTTAGCAACGTAACGTTATTGATAAACTCTAAGACATGATCGCAGTTTTATTATAGTGTTTAGGTATGTGGTTTTGACAACGATAAAAACTAGTGAAACCAGTGCTTTGCATACAAAACCACTTGAACTTCTATAAATCGTTGAAAACTCGTTAAAATTCGACTATAATACAAAAATTATGCAACGTCATATTTAGTCATGAAATAAAAAAATGTAGAAAAAAAATGAAATAAGTGTTTAACCTTATCGTCTATAGAAAAATATTAAATTAAAAATATGATATTTTCATTTCTTCAAATTGTAAATTGTTACAATTATTAATCATTAGAGCTCGGATTTCAACGCATCTTTTTTTTTGGTATGTCTTATACAATGCTTTCCAAGCTACAAATATGTTTCAAGTACTCCTTGTTGTAACCACGAAAGTCTTTTGGTAAATTGTTGGTGTTTTTAGCTGATTTTATATCTTTTAGGACATTTTTAATATTTAAAACCCTCGTGTCATACTTGAATTATATCCTAATCGTATTTTACGTAGTTAAATACAACTCCTCCCCACTCGAACCTAGACATCCAAAAGAAACGTTTTCAACACAAAGCCCTGGTAAATACTGTTGATGAAGCATGAATGCTACTATTTATAATAATATAAACTATTATTAATACCGGATCCCGGGTATAGACCTTCGTGACTGGCAACACTGGCCAACCACGGTATGTCAGCCGCCTGACCGTTAGCGATGATGTGGTAGGGTGTATCGCTAATGAAAGCTTTTTCACTGGGTGGCTCTACGACGGGACCAAATGGAGTGAACGGGTTAAACATGAACGGCTGTAATGAAATCATATACTTTATGAATTATTCATAGTATATTCTTATGACGTGCGCGTTATCGTCGTCGCGACAAAGATGCGAAACCCGTACGATTTAATGAGAAAAATTGTAATCGATAACCTGATTTTTATAATAAAAAAAAAATGTTGGTATTTCTTAAATAATAAAAGCTATTGCTAGTTATATCTATTAATAAACGCATGAAAAATTATTAAATTTCTACAAACAATAAAAGTCATAGAAATTCAACGGATGAACACCTATAACCAAAGGTTTAAAAATATTCGATTTGACAAAACGGCTAAATTAAATTTTTTTCTTTTTTTTTTTTTAATCAAAAGAATAAATTTCTACTTTTTAAACATCAAATTAAAAAATGTATTAATAAAATCAATAGAGGGTAGTGTTTAGAGAAAAAAAGAATTAAATCTTTTTTATTTTAGTAAAAAATTGTTTTTGATTTTATCGGTGATTCACTTAATTTGAAACCGAAACGTCACATCAGGTGTCACACTGATACATTGGCTCTTGGATATATTTTGCATAAAATAAAAATGAATGAAATTCATCACGTGCCCAACAACGATTTGGTCGTCATTGTAATTGCACAGTAAAAACAATAACCGATTCTGCTTATATTCAAATATTTACACGAAATGTACTACGGCCAGCATATCGTTGTCAGGGAAACGGTACATTTTACTCGTTCGTACTTTTCGCTTCCTGTTGTATGTACCTACCATGAATATCTTCACCGCGTTCACGATCTGCAACGCCGGCCGGGCGTTCAGACATTCGACCAGTGCCGCGGACGTACGAACAGGGCATCCCAAAAGCGCGCCGATCGCTGCCGACTTGGCCGGTACGTTTTCGGTCAATGTCCATGGGCACATGGCCGTTCCGCTCTGCGAGAACGCTTTTTGAAACAGTCCTGTAACACAATGTTGAACACGGCATGTAAGTCGAATGCATGGTAAAAACCGATCACGGATCGGTATTTCTTACCTTTGGACAGTGGCGATAACATGTGATAGTTGACACTGGCCCCGCCGGCGGACATCCCACTGAGTGTAACGCTTTCCGAATCACCTCCGAAACGTTTTATATTTCGCTTCACCCATTTCAAAGCTTGCACCTGATCTTTCAGTCCATTGTTGCCAGGTACGACCGAGTCTCCGGTACTGAAAAAACCTAAAAACGTACGCGCATCAAAATAACAACTGCGGATGATGAAGACGAAATGTGACTTCACTGATTACTCCACATTTTGGGTCCAAATAACGGCCCGAAAAATCTGTCACAAATCGTGTGGATAGTAATTACATAAGGAGACGTGTGTGATCACCCCTTATATTCAAATCGTATACTGGGCCACTCAGAGCCGTGTCAAACATTTCAGCGCCCCGGGACAAAATTTTTTTTTCGGAGCCACTGGGCCACAAGTAACATATTAAGTGCAGATAAGGGCGCCCCTTACTTTTACAAAACTACGACGCCCAGGGGCAATTGTCCATTTTGACCCGTTCTCAACACGGCCCTGAGGCCACTTATCAAAGAGGAAACAAGAGCGAACGTAGTGGTTCTGGTTGGAAATGGAACATAAACGAATGCAGGGTAGGTTCAATCTCCTCCCAAAATATCAGAAAAAATTATCCGACCTACAAATTGAATATTAATTTCAAAATTTCGGGTGAGACTTGCAAATCAAATATATAAATACATATTATTTATTTATATACGAGTATAAACTAGCTAACCCGACAGACGTTGTCCTGTCATAATTATGAATATTGAATTCGAATTGGTATAGTTAATAAAAAAAATATTTAAAAAAAAAGTGTTTGTTATTCTAATGCTTTATGTGATATACAACGTGCTTAGTTTTTTTATCTTGCGCGCCCCCAAAAATTGTTAAACGTTATAATTTGAACGTAATAATAGTAGGGGAACTCTAAACTTTCTGGAAATTAGTTGGGGTACTCCGTCCTCCTGTGTTCCCCTCAAGTCAAGCACTGGAGGCAATTAACATTTTACTAACAACCAACCATCATCCACTAATCGACCAAAACTTCCACTATATCTATGGTTAATTTATGTACATAGAATATAAACTATAATTTATTGAACTATATCGTAATATAGAATAGTATACTCTAAAAATTTAATTTAGTATAGGAAATTTTAGTTTATACACCCATGACCCACCCATCCTCAAAAATCTTAGAAGCGATTATCTCTCAAATAATCCTTCGCCACGCATCATGGTAATCGACTATGTTACCATTTTTTACCTATCACTTTATCCCACAACCTAAAATGAATAACTGTTGCATGAGGCCACTGTAAGATCGTATCTAGTTGTTGCGCAAGCATAGAATTTTACGAGATATTTAATTTTTATTTTTTATAAGTACGAACGTGCATATAGACTACCTATACAATAAAGATAAAAAGAATATATAACAAGAAGAATGAATTAAGGTACCGGATACGATTAAATAATTTACAGTTAGTTCAATATATTTGATTTTGAAAATAAAAATTTGGAAAATAAAATACTCATTCGAGAAATGCCAAATATTCAAGTGGGATTGATAATAATTGCAAATAATTAGCGTACTTGAAATTAAAAGTATTACAACTGTCTCAAATCGGTAGTAAATAAAATGTTTTGCAACCGATTTTTTATCGAACACCGATAATAGTTTCTGAAAATACATTTTAACAAAACTGCAGGATAATATAGGATTTCTACCTAATATCAATACTCAGTCGTATGGGTGGTACGTATTTTCTTTTTCATAATTTTTATGATTTACAATGATTACCATTATAATATATTACCGATCGGACCGAGCCTGTAGTTGAACGTCACCAAAACTATATCTTTGTCCAGAATAAAATCGGGCTTGTAAACCGATCCTTCTAGAAACATAAAAGCACCTCCGTGAATGAACACCAAAACATTCAACGGTTTGCTAGCGTCCTCTTGTCCGGGAAGCTAAAACAAATTATTGTAATACCGACCAGAACAATATTATTCACACGTGTTTTCATTGCAAAACCCGCGCAAAGACGACGCCTACTTTCGGTGTGTACACGTTGACGTAGAGACAGTCTTCGTCTCCTTGTACCGTGTAATCCGGATGGACGTATTGAATACATTTACTCCCCGGAGAAGATGCGTTCCATACCCCTGACCAGGGCTTGACCGGTTGAGCTTCCTGCGTGATCAAATGTTACGTATTCGGTACGAGTGTGTGGTAATAATGTGCGTATTTGTTACGGAAAATGGTGATAAATTCGGTGTGTTGGAGAAATTGTTTTTTTTTTTTTTTTTTGCTGACATCAATGATACTCGACCGTGCACAAGATGGATATATAGTTAAACACGTTAGTCACTTTTTTAAATGTAGAATGTTGCTTGTGAATATTTAATAACAACGTTTTCAAATGTGTTGTTTTCGTTGTTTTCCAGTTACCCGTGAAAACAAGACGAAAGTTTAAAAACGCCTTATAACATTTTAATTAAGAATTATAATCGTATTATATAGTTATAATATTAATGAGTATATGCGTATCGATTAAAAAATAATGAATAATACCATGGCTTTACTATAGTGTTTGTTTTTATTAATTTGTCTCAATCTAGCTATTTGGGCAACCGACATTGATTTCATTGGTTTATAATTATCAAACCGATCGTATACAATTTTTTATCGCTATATTAAATTTAAATACACATATTAGCATATTAATATGTATAACAGTTATTTTAAACGTCGTATGATAAAGATAACATCGGACACGTAAAAAAAATTGATTTAATGGTACCTCAGTAAAATGGATGCGATTCATAAAAAAATAAACAATTAATATTATTTTTTTATTTATGATTAATTATAAATATATATTTATCGATTAATGATATCTTGTTTTTATTTATATTATAATTTTATACTATTAACGATGATTGTGTTCGGTTGATGCCGTCAATTTAATTTGAACATGATTATTTATGTTGATTGCTACTCCAACTGCAGGTAATAATGATTCGCGTGTAACGTTTACTTTATTGCGTTAATTATTAACGGTGCACATTGATCGGTGAAGGACGCTACAGAAACTGGCAAAAAAAAAAAAGAATGTTACTTGCCAACTAACCATAATTTACCGTAACATACCAGCACTCATTAATATTTTTCAATACGCGTTCTTTAATACAATACGTGTCTTACCTTAAACCTAAGTTCTCCTACCGGAGGAGTTGCATACGGTATCCCTTCGAAACTATAAAAACTCCGTCCTTTCCAAGTCTTCGATAGTTTTCCGGACACGAACCCGCTATCGATTTCTACCTCAGGAACCCGAACGCTAGACACGGAATAACAACCGAACGTCCACAATAAGCCGATAACAACGGGCACGTTCAATAACACTTGGGGATGATAAATATTTTCAATGGACACCGTTTCAGAGAACATCGTGATTAACCACAATCAGCCGTTGCTGAGTTAATTTAACGAATAAGTGGTTTTACGAATTGAAATATAATACATTATAATAATCACGTTACGTTTGTTCCCCACTTTTATGCAAGAATGCTAACGGTCCAACGTCCTTCGGATTTCTATAGAATTATTTTTATATAATTTTATCTCGAGAAAATAAATTTCCCCTGTTCATTTTATTTTCAATCCAAGCTCAAAAAAATAAATACATCATATGCATACTGTATATTTTAACTCGAAATTGTAGTGTTTTAATAACTATTCCTATTTAACTTCAATGAATAACATAAAACGTTAATCTGTATGTACCTATATACCCAGTGGCGTAGCCAAGATTTTTAAATGGGGGGGGGGGGTAACCCCCTTTTTTGGTAAGGAAAGGTAAGGGGGGGAATGGGAATTCCCCCTTACCCCCCCCCCCCCCCCACGATCTACCGCCAAGTTTCTAAACGTAATTCAAGCATTTTAATATAGTTTTAAAAATATTTATTAATATATAATTTATAACAATAATAATAATAATTTTGGTTTTAGTGTTCAGTCACTTGCTCCACTCTGACAGCTGCATCCTCTTAGACGAATTTCTGGCAAATTCATTTATTATGTCACTTTCATCGAATTGCTCTTTTTTATTTATATTAGCCATAGCTAACCCATTCAGTCTGTTTTCCGACATGGTGATTCTTAAAAAATTCTTTAAGCGATTAAGTGCTGAAAACGTTCTTTCCGGAGTGAAAGAGGTAACTGGTGACGTGGCGAATAATTGTAAAAGTATTTTAATGTTAGGTCGAAGATTGGTGCGATGAGACAGTGAATCAAGAGCAGAATTCGGTTTTGGAATAGTATTTTGACTCCATTGTTGCCTCTATATGAACAGGTCAGCTCTGATTGTAGATGAGGTATCATCATGGAGATCTTGGACATATATTTAGTAGGTTTTATAATATTTTTATCGTCATACATATTTAAATTGGCCGGAATAAATCCTTCAAGTGGCATAACATCAATAAGCCTTTGATTAAAACGAGCATCCATTGATTCTATTAAATAGTTAAGATACATTATACATATAAACACGGCCCATGGGGGGGGGCTATAGCCCCCTTAGCTCCCCCCTTGACTACGCCAATGTATATACCTACTAATATAGTAATATAGTATTATACTGACTATAATGAGTAATTCGTTGTGCATTAAATAATTGTTTTGCATTTTATCTCTAACCTCAGTGATTAACATGTTACCGTCCGGACTACGAAACAATAACTTTATTGATAAAACATCCGATACATTTATAATTTAAAAATCGAATATTTGTGTATTAAATTTATATTAAATTTTTTAAATTTTTCATTTTTATTTTTTTTGCTAAGACTGTTTAAACGCGTGAAACGTAAATTCTCCGGATTGACAAAAAAAATATGCTTTCTACATTTTAATTTAATTAATACTTTTGTACTGCATAAAATTTTTTTTAAATTTAATTAACTTATTATACAGAGGTATATTAGGTATATATTAGGTTTTTTAAATTAAAAATAAAACACTTCAATACACATTTCATGTTTATAACGATTACATAATTTACAAATTAAATTTTCATTTAAAATATGAAAACTCGAAATTTTCGTTCCAAACTGAACCCTTACACCATAATATCACCTTTTTTTCACTTGAAGTTATTGATAAATTTATACATGTATCAATTATATATTTTATATTTTGGTTTTATTGGATAATTATAGCACTTATCAATTTTAAAATAATTGGTTTTCATAAATTAAACGTTTAGCCTTAATTTGCATTAACGAAATATAAATCATATTTTTTTTTCATGTGTATTTATTTGATGAATAAATTATTTAAATTAATAACACTTAAAACCATAAACAAACAATACTATTTACCTTAATAAAAAATCGTATGTGCCCATATAATAATGGATAAATTTTCTGTAAAAAACAAACCAACTATCAGTAAATAAATAAATTTCGATAACAAATAAATAAATATTTTGTTGTAAATATTTATTATTGTATATTATAACATTTTTGTATAACAAGTATAGATCCTGCGTATGATATTACTTTAGTATCAGTTAGGAATTAGGATAAAAATCAGTGGAGTGGAATTTTAAAAGCTACGAAAGAACTCAATGGTATATCCTGAACAGAAGAGATAACATGTTTATAATGTCTTCGAATATATTACAGATGTGTCAGGTAAGTGATTAGTTTTTTTTATAATTACTAATACAACCTCTTGAATTTAATTGATGTATTCACTAAAATATATAACACAGTTAACTATTATTAAAATGTTGATACTCATTATAATCAATGACATAAACCACAAAAAATTCAAGAAATTTAAATTTATAAAGTTATTTTCTTAAATAAGATAAACTAATTAAAAAAACACTATTTACAGAGTGCTGTAATATTTTTAAAAAGAACGCTGAGTAAACATTTTGAATATTTGGCATTACATTTTAAAACTTGATAGAAATGTAATATTTTATTTAATATTTTATTTGATCATGAAACCTAAATTACTTAAAATATATTTTTAGAAAATCTGTAAATGAATTAACAATCAAGATGAGTATTTTTTTTATCGTTTATCATCTTTTAATTAAAATAGTATAAATTATATTTCTATGCGATTTTCAGAGTATTTTAATCACCTCCTTCTATATTTAAAATAAACACATACATAAGTGGAAATATTTCACAGCCCACAGCGATGTTGCATAATAACGAGTAAACCGATGGACAAAAAATATTTTCTAAAAATTGTAATACTGGAGTGAAATCCGTTTGCAGTTTAATTTGCTACGTTGGTTTATAGGGTATAATACGATAACTTGGCAACGTTATGAGGAATTGAAACTGAAGACGCCTAATCATGACGGTCGAAAAGTTTTATAATTATATCAACGATAATGAGGACCATAATCATGTTTCCACCGGGCTTATTATAAAAAAAAAAAAAATATGAAAACATTTTAATTTATTTTAATTTTAGATTTTAAGATGAATATAGGAGTTTTAGTGCAGATTTATCTCGAGGTAAAGAAATACGTAGCAGGATATGGTTTAGTAACTTGAAATTACAGCAGTGGCCAATAAATGAAGAAATTTAGTTTAGGATCAAGAGAAGTAGCGAACAATTTTATATGCAGGAAAATTTAAAAGAATAATATAAGTAAGAATAATAAGAAGATGAAAAAGGAAAAAATCCATGATACACACCACGTCCCACGAACAATACATTTTTTACAGACTACCTTAATAAAATTCTCATAACTCTTTTTATAATAACTCGGTTAAAATCATATTCCATACTTCCTCCAACCTTCTTTTGTCTGATTTCATTAGTTTATTTTAGCATGACAAAAATCTTTTACAATACTAAACGTATGTTTAGATAACAAAAGTAATTAAAACTCTTAGTATACTAATTTATTAATTTTTAATACTAAGATATTTTTATAGTATGAATATTTATATATGTATACATAATGTATGTACACAATGAATTACACATGATTGTGTAAAATTGTAATTATTTAAGACTTATATTTTAATACAATAAATAATAAATTTATAATGTCGTGTATAAATGTATATCTAACGTTATGTATTGCACTTACATATATTATTCACATTTATTTACAAATTTATTTAATTTTAGTTTATTATATAATTTAAAAATGTGTCGTATAATTCAGTTTCCTCACTGTTTTATACTAACCGAGTATGATTGATATTGTATAGTTTCAATACTAATGCCAGAGTCTTTATTTCATATACAAACCTATACTTATAAAAACCATTAGCATTAGTAGCACAAAAAATCCATTTACAACGAGGAATTTTAATAGTATAGATTTCAATATCGTTTACGTTTATTATTCCGAATATAATTTACAACTTGACTTGTATAAACATGACCTGTAGCTATCAACGGTCATTAATGATTGGCATTTATAAATAAATTACGGTTGAACTTCAAAAAACGATTAATATAATTTAATTACAATGTATACTTTTTGTTACGAAATTCCGTGAAGTGTTGTCTGTGGACGGTTTCTTTGTCAAATCAATCATGTCATATTATTCATTTTTAACAAAAATTCAAACGTATAATAGTAACAATCGATAAGTTCAATTTATCAATCGATTAACTTCAGAATGAAGGAATTGTGTTACGGTAGAAATATTCACGTACAAAAAATGATCAATTTTTCATTTCTAATGCAATTATGAGTAAGATCCCATTCAAAAGGATTGTTAGAATGATGGATGACTCGGTAAATAGTTTATACGTTCATACCATAAACTCAGTACGATTTCTCTTATTCCCATAATATTTTAAATACAGAGCTTTGATCAAAATTAAAAATGAGTTATAGATTTTAAGTGACACGAAGAATGTGTATTAAATGTGTTGGTTGCACTAATGTGTATTTTATTTATATATTTTGTGTTTGCGTGCATAATTTCGACTAAAAAAATTACTCCGATCATCACAATCTTGAGAGATTTCTATTAGGAAATTTTGCTTAGTTGATGGAGGGTAATTTTATGGCTTCAACGATTAAATTCAAATAAAACCAAAAGCTATTTTAACTTGTGTAAATGTGTAGAATATTGAACCTAAACATTTTTTTTACTGTCGTTTCTAATTAGAAATTTAACATCACAATTTATTACTTTTTTTTTTTATCTTTCAAGATTAGTCTTTATCAAAACTAAAATAATTATTTTTCTTACAACTAATAGTATTATGGGTGCGTATATAATCATTATAAAATATGGGATATTTAATGTGAATTAGCATTCGCTTGGAATTTTTTTTAACCTGTTGTACGGCGCACGGGGTAAATAATTACCCCAGATTTATTTATATTGTATATAGGTTATAAAATAATGTATTTAGGTGTTTGTCCTCCTCAGTAGCTTTAAATAATACACCTATAAATATACTGTTTGTTGTTTCATGTTGTTTTTTGTACATTTTGTTTTATCTAGAAAGTATTAAAGTCGTATACAGTGATATCTGGAAATTATTTACCCCCTGTTTTTGTTTTTTAGAATCATAATATTTTTTAATCACTCTGTATGCAGTAGAATCTCTGTATATCTCTCACAAGCACCTATTTTTAACTTATTACTTAGAAATGTTCAATAATATTTAGTCATAATACGGTGTTATCAAAAGCGAATATACTCGTAATATATTGGCGTCGAAGCCATATTAACTACAGGAAAATACTATTATCTTTTTTTAAAAATAGACTAAAATTAAATCCGATCGAGTTATTTGATGATTCTTAAAATAAATATGAATAGCAAACAAGAAAAATAGATCAATGAAGTTCAAATTATAACAAACTATAGTGAATAATAATCTTGGGATAAAAATTTACCCCGTGCGCGTAAATATGACATCCAAATGTGTGCGCCGTACGACGGGTTAAAAATGTTTTTTCATTGTTCTCAGATTTATTCAAAATATAATTCAAGACGCACAACGAAAGAAAAACACAATTCAAGTGTCTTACTAGTTTTTCAATTATTGATAATTTGAATAATATTAACTATGTACATAAAAAGTACTAAAAATGTGCAACTTGTTAAACAATAATATTATTAATAAAATTATTTATTTCAGATGTATAATCTCACAAAATGTTCAGTCTTTAATAAAACATTTTAATTTTTCCAAATTTCTTGCTTTATAATGAAAAAAAGTTTTTTTTCGATTTTTTTTCAGTAAATGACATTGAAACAATCAATAAGTCAAATATACGTATGTAATCGTATATTACGTATATTGCCATCTTTTGTATAACCATGACTAATTAAGTATATACATCTGAAAGTTCATTTCTTACTTAAAATTTATATTTTAATTTGTGTTTTGCTCAATGGCTTTTAGTTTATGAATACGAATTACGATACTACAACAATCATGTTGTAGGCGTTTCATAATTGTTGGGTGTATTTTTATATATAAAGGCTATTTAATTCTTTAAAAAAATAATATTAACATTTTATTATTATATTGTATAGTTGGTATTCTATGAATCATACTGTCATGTAGAAAAAAATATTATAGTTTTCAGTAAATTTGATTTCGGCGTATTACAATACAATACATTATGATAATATAATGACATATTTAGCATTTCACGCAATTTCACAATTACAAATTTATTACCATGATGATGAATATTTTCAATTTTTGTACGCATATGGTACCGATTTAATTTGTTTAGAAAGTTTCATTCAACAAATCAATTAATCAACTTTTTGTTATTTCGGGAACACAGCAATCGTTCTATAATGAATAAATAAATCTTTTAAGTAAAAAATTCGTTTTTATTCAATAATTAACGCAGTCATTATTACTATATAAATATTAATCAACTTATCAAACAATATCACAGTTTCAATTTAAAAATTTGTTTCAATACTCATTCTTTATGTTTCTTCTTTTTCTTCTCTTTTTTGGGGTACTGGGTATTCGCTACTGTTCTCCTTAATTAACACGCCATTTTGAAAATGATCATGAATACGTTATAATTAATAAGAATTCGATAACAACATTGACGACTACGCCAAAACCGCAAAACAGATTCTAAAATATAAACACATATTGGTACCGACTACCGACCACTATACATACGGTATTCTCGGTAATGATTTACGACCACTCATTAAAACTCAGTACATAATATACTATGCAGCTTAAAGGACGTCATGTGTTACTTGATCACGGTTAATTTATCTGGTGTGTAAGTGATTCGTGCAAACTACGAGCAGTTCTATAGATAATTAATAAACGGTTGGACCACTTGACGTTAGTGTAGTTGGAGGCGGAAGAAATGGGTTAAGTCCATCAAGCCTTCCTGGAAATAAATGGCTACCTAACCCTCTCTTGCATCAAAAACACTTAAAAGAATTCCGAAAACTAACTTTTTGTTACTTCAATTTACTGTGCGTTACCCGTTTTTTTTTTTTTCATTTTTCTTCATTAACTGTATTTATCTTAAATGTTATCGCATTACGTAAGTTTACGATTAAATAAATGATCGTGTAATGATAACACGAACTAAATTTCTTGAACTAATTTTTTTTGAGATATTTTACTTTTGATAATAATGTAATTTTTTATTCCCGATCAGAAACACTGAGGATCGGGAAGGATAGGATTATTGTTTTCTATTAATATGCAAATTATGTAAACATTACCTAGTTGTAAAATATCAAGCTATATATACCTCTTAATAAAATAAAGGAAAAATATACTTCAATTTCTATATAATCACCACAAATCACTTGCTTTATTTCCATCTACAGCCATAATATATCGATGATGTGTGATGTAATATAAATTTCTTTTACTCTGATAGACATGCAATAAAAAAATAAATATTAACTACTTAAAAAGTTAAGTTAAGTTAAGTTAAGTTCAGTTCAATTCACTTAAAAATTTAATAGTAATATTTAGAATAAATTAAAAATACAGCTTATTCTAGTTAGTTAAAATATTAAATGTATTAAATATTTTTAGTTAGACATGTTTGGGTTAGATCATCCCATAGGTCTTTTAAAAATTGTATAAAATAGTATTCTTAATATAAGGAAATTATAAGGAAACAAAAAAAATGTTCAAGGATTTATTGTAAATTATTATTTTGACACATTCAATATATAAATTTTATAATTTATTATTTTGAATGTGCAGGTCCTTTGGTCTAGAAATTTTTCTTCCATAATAATTTGTTTGCAATTGATCCCCCCCCCCCCATACAAAAGTTATATGTACGTCACTATTGTATTTATTTTATTTACAAACTTTACAGATAAGTAATAGGTATATGACCATAACTAGGATATTACCTACAATTCGCGTGACCGCAACTATTATATGTACTTATCTCAAAAATCGTCTCTAACCGCAACTCGGATGCAGCCGAACAAAATATAAATTTGATCACGACAAATTCTGATAATCCTAATAAATATTTATAAAAATAAAAAATTATAACTAAAAATATTTAAAAATTTAATAAGATATAATATATTATTGTTATCGATTTATTTATCAAAATGTATCATTAAATAATTATCTTTTTCGACTAAGATAAGTTAAGATATTTTTATAGTTATAAGCTTAAGGTGGATTTTAATGGCTAATGGCTATTAAGGAACAAATGTTTTGGCAATATTCGTTCAACATAAATTTTGTATTTTGCGAGTGTGCATAGTATCTAAATTAAAATTAATAATGTAAGTGTAAACATCACAATTTCTTAAAATTGGTTTTTACTTAAAAGGTTCAATGATAAAAATAAAAAAGTATTTCTTACAAAACATAGAAAAAAGGCTAAATTATTTTTCAAAATTATAATAGATTACTAGAAATTTGTTTATTTTTCTCCCACTCATAAATCTATAATGCAAGAAAATCTTATAACTTCGAACCCCTTTAAGTAAATCCAAGTGAAACCAGTGAAAACTTTTCACAGTTTTTATTTTTTTATCACGTTTTATTTTTTCGTCATCGAAATACATTTATTTTTGCCTACGATTGGCGACTTTGCATTCGAATACAATAGTGTTCGTTACAATTCTGCTCACAATGTACTCTTATACACTCAAACCAATGTTCATTTACCAAGCACACTCGTACACAACAATATTTCTGTTGAACGAATGTTGCCGAAATATTTGCCCTTTATTAAATGGTCACTAAAAACTGCTCTAAAAACAGAAATATTCATTGTTTTTGACTAATAAATGTAACTCGAAGTTCTTGTGCTTACCTAACTAACTCTAGTTAATTTAATTCATCTACTTTTATGTAAACAATATCTAATGCAATAATCAACTGTGTTCGACGCAGAACAAACACTAATTTATCCGAATGATATTACGTAATAATTATAAGTCTCGGTTTTTGTTTGCACAGTATGATTCATGCGACAGCGCGCGCGCAAAAAGACGAGATTTCGATGGCAAACAATGATTCTAGTTGATAAATAGCTGTAAATCTGCATCATTGTTTATCGTGAATGATTTACGGTTTTTAAGGACGTAAAAACGGAAAATCGTGTAAAACGTTTTTTTTTTCTTTATATTACAGCGACGACCGAAGGTAGAGTGAATTACACACGCACAACGATAACCCCGTTTCCTTATCATAGGCGAAGGTGTATGCATCCGGTAAACAGATATTCGCTTTCTTCGGTCGGAGGCTTATTATGAATACGATAAGACGAGATAGCTTCAAGTTTGGGTACACAAGACCCGTGAGTTGAGTGCGAGAGCCGATGCCAGCCACGGATTTACGGCGGTTAAATAAATACCGTCGACTCGGTGATCGTCCGCAGTAGTCGTGTCAGGATTGCTGCTGTTATGTATCTTCGAGTAACAGTCGAATACATTTTTTTTCTTCTTTTTAAATCCCGTTAGTTTCAATTTTGAGAAAAAACGTTGTCCGAACGGGTTTAAAAATCAAACATAAAGCGAAAAAGTCGCACACGCGATACGCGCACGTTTCTAAACATCGTATATATACCAGTACCTACTGTTATGGCGGTATCGTGGATTTCGATCTCGTTCTTGTTGACAGTCTGTTGCTATTCCTCCTCGGCCATCATCTCTCCGGTTGACGCCAGCAGAATCACGCCGAGGGTGCGAGTCGAGTCGGGTGAACTTTCTGGTGGTGTAGATTACACGCTTACCACCAATCGGCCTTTTTATTCTTTTCTGGGCATTCCCTATGCCAGCCCACCAGTACACAAAAATCGTTTTAAGGTAACTTTAATATATATAATATTACTCGTAACATATATATATATATGTTATGAGCAATGTTAATATTTGGATAAAGTCGATTGTAGTCATATGTAATCATTAGTCGCCATGAATATTATGAAATTTTGCCTAATGTTAACATTAACCGGGTAATATAATATTAGCCAAGAACTTTTGGATAATCTCTTGACAGTAATAAAAATGTACCATGCATGAGAATAAAATTATTTTAAATTTTTAACAATATTAAATATATTTAAGGCACAAAAGATATAATATTAATCGTATAATATAATAAAATTATTAATTATTATTAAACAATATGGGTTTATTTTTAATGAGTCACCTACTCTTAATACAACATTAAATTGTGTATTCTATTTTATATTTTAAATTATTTTATGCTATTTTAAATATAGAATCAAAGTGTTATCCTTTATTATTACATGGCATGCTTGCATGATATTTTGAATTGCAAAAAATGTTAGTTGATTTACACTTGTATCGATTGGTATCACATTTTCCCTTATATGAATACCTTTTGTATTCTTGACCACTATCTAACATTTGAGTCACAATTTTCCTCAATGACTTTTGAACATGTACCACCTCATCTAGCGAAATTTGAGGCAACGAACAAAAACATCAAACCGATTACTGGTGTATAACTATAGCAAAGTACCATATTTTTTGTCAAGTTTATAGTATTGTCCATCCTCAATAAACACGATTCCAAATACAATATTTTTTGGGTCCGTTCTTCTTTTATCCTCTATCTTACCCATTCTATTAAACATATAAATTTTAAGTTTCAACATTATCTATAATTGACTGGCTAACGTTAACATTATCCGGATAATGTTGATATTTCATGATTATAAGCAAAAAATTACACCCAAAAGGCATGGCTAATATCAACTTTAACCAAATGTTAACATTAACCGTAATATATATATACAGCCACAAAATGTCATCCAGATACCGTATGAAAGGGAAGTGGCTTCGAAAACCTAAAATAACTCTCTTAGCTCAACCATTATATGGCCACACTTTGTCGTTCAGTGAACGTAAAAAAAAAAATTAAATTAATTTTGTTACTTAGTTAGTTGTACACATACATTTTTTTTTTTTTTAATAATCTTGTACTAAAAGGTTTTTTCGTACAGGATAAATCGATAAAAATAATCAATAACTAATAGATATCTTGTTAAATAAGATGAAAATGAGAAAAGTGTAATTATGTTCGTCGTTCATTACATTTACCAAGCCACTAACCCAAATCTAAGTCTAAGTATAATCCGAGTATCTTATTGGTATTACCATTTATTTCATGTGTAATGACACAAAATAACTGAAGAATATACTGCATTAATCGTCATTCAAAACTGACCGTGTATGGGCCCCTTAAGATTGCCAACCACAATCAAATACATTTATAGTTTTCAAGTGATATTGCTTCTAATTTACGCATTAGAACAAATTAAAAATAATGTAAATCAATACATGGCTTAAGATATAAGGTATATTATAAACAAAAGAACTTTTAGGAAGCACAACCAGTGAAACAGTGGGTGGGCGTATGGAATGCCACCATCCCGGGAAGTGACTGTATAGGACTAGAACAGGGTTCGTTCAAAGTAGTCGGCCAAGAAGATTGTTTGTACCTTAATGTCTACACGCCAAAGGTAAGTAACTTTTCAATACTATAATTATCGTTTTATTACATAATATACGATTATGAAATTTATTCACAATACTCGACCAAATTAAATATTCAACTAATTGTAAACATGGGTAAGTCTTTGAAAAAAGATTGGATAAATTTATAAGTAACGGCACTTGGAACTTGGATGCGTGCGTTCATAAATCACGTTTTATAGAAATATATTTTGCACTAAAAATAAAAATATCTAGTTAAAATTAATCAACTTCAACTTCAAGGAATAATAAATTATGACATAATTTACACATATTATATTATTAAAATAGTTAAAATATATAATTATATAGTTAATTATATATAAAAGCATAGAAATTATTAATATAATGAAGTCATTATTGTCTATTTTGATTTCAAAATATTTATCTGTGGACTCATAGGGAAAATATAAAGACTTTTGCACATCCTGCAGCAGGTTTTCGTAAGTTGATATAAATAATGCAACACAACTCCTAAGAATGGGAATACGAAACTTACGAAAAATATTTTATCAATCCTCAAAAATTATTGAGTCGAACCTGATATCAAACGATTTAAAATGACTTCGCATACAAACAATAATCCAGTAATAAGTTTCGGTTACCGGTTCGGTAATAAGTTATAACCCCTTTTTTCGGATTATGAAGAAGCCCACCAAAACTAAGGCAGGATTAAGGCATTGATGAGTTAAAAATCAAAATTAAATTAAAAAGTTAAATTACTTAAGGAGCTAATTATTACGCATAATAGTTATTATTCGGTTAAAAATAGGTTACTTAATGTTAACTAAGTTAAAGTTTATTTAATTTTTCTACTCAATTAGTGATTATAATGAGTTAATAAAAAATAGGTGGGACTTTTAATATTAAGCTAAACCTACATTACTCTAGATGAACTCAACGTATCGTGGTAAAAAACTTGCCCAACCTTGACCTTAATACAAATACACTTGTACTCCACGCGGGCGCAATCTGCTCGTATATGTTACGGGTGAAGTACAAAATACGGAAAGTGCTCATATTACCTAATACTACCAATTACTTATTATCTAACACTATCAATTATATATTTATATTATATATATATATCGGATTAAGTTAAAATATTATTTATAAAACGTTTATTTCGTACACTACGTGGGTAATTCGTACATTATCTATGACTGAGTTAGCAAAGTAAATAATATGATAAAATAACAATTGTTAATAATTACTAATCTGGATAAAATATTAAAATAATCCGAAAATATTGAACCTCTAGAGGTTAGATCAACAGCTGTGACTCGTAAATAACTCACTAGTGATGGAAATAATCGAATGGTTTGTAGTTAGAAAAAAATAATAATTGAGTAATCAAAATAAAATAATCGATGATTAGTACTATTCCGAATAAAGATAAACAGGTGAGTAATATTATTAATAACCGATTGAACTATTCGAATACATTATGATTAACATTGTTTGTACTGATTAATGTTTGTAAAATGCCAGCCTATACTACTTACTCCAAAAGGATGTCATTCGGACATCGTTTATAAAAATTAAATACAAAATTAACACTTTTTAAATGCCTTTTTTATATACTTAAAGATGGTATGAATGTATTTATTAAAATAATTCTTCTGATTATTCTTAATTATTTTAAAAAACGCTCGTTTCACTGCCCACCCTGTATTAATAATCTAATGATAATCTATATTCTAACTATTAATGATACGAATTACTAAAATCCCTTGTCAATACAACAAACTGTATTAGTATTTAATATTAATTCTGAGTTTTAAGTATAGACTATTACAGTTCATAAAATTCAGAATTAATCTGATAGTTATTTTTCATTTATTTTCATTCGATTATTTTATCATTCGAATAGGGTTATAAATAATCAAATTAAACCGATTATTCGAATAATCCTATGATACGATTATTTCATTTTATTATTCTCATCACTAAGGCTTACAGTTAGGTACAGTCCATAGTTGTAGGTGAGCGACTGCCCGAGCCAGAAACTCAGGGATATTTGTATTAATAATTGCTTTTTATAAACCATGAATTATTACTGTATTCCATCTGTATAGTATATTTGTTTTAGTATATATATCTCATGCCAATACACGTTTTTAAAATTACTTCACACGACCTTTCAACAACGGCAATATTAATTTATTTTGTTTATCCATAGCCACGACGTCATATTTTTTCAAAATGAAATATGCCTAGTTAATTTTTTTTCCACCTTGATCTAACATTTTTAATTTTTGAAATTATTTCTTTATACCAAAGGTTCCCAACCAGGGTGCCGTGGCACCCTAGGGTACCACAAACTTAAATTTAGGGTGCCGCAAAAATATTTGAATATATATTTATTTTTAAACGCTTTCATGAAAAATATAGCACTATGAGTAATAAAACAGACTATACTCTTATATCTATAGTATAAAACCTATTGTGCATAATTAATTAGTGTGAATTAATATGAAGTGGCTTCTTATAATAAGTTACGAGTGGTAACAATTTATTTTATACGTTTATAATTTGAGTATGTTGTAAAATATTTTTAATTTAAGATTTTAGCCTAATCAAATAAAAATAAAAGTGAAATTCTAGTTAATTAAGACATTTATTCATTCTAGATTTTGTTTTTCTTAA